GGACGCGTGCTTTTGGGTAATCACTGTATTCCCAGTGTCTAACACAGGCTTGGCACACACTACACAATATTTGTTGAATGAGTGAATGCATGACATGGACCTAATCTAGGGATCTTGATAAATGCCCCTCCCCTACCAGAGATCTCTCAATTCCAAAATGAAAGTACAAAACTTTTCTTGTACTATTGTTGGCTTGGGAAGCCAGATAAGTGCTGGCTTTTGGTATTCTATTTGGAGAGATTTGGTGAATCACTTGACATATTACTCAGCCATTCTTGCAAACAAAACCTGGGATGATTGAAATGGAACTGTTAGTCTGGGGGTTCCATGGCTTTCTCTCCAGAGCAGTGAGGTAATGTTCCGCTTAGCTAGCCCAGACCATCGCTCTTGCTCAGGACTGTGGTACTTCCTTACCAGCAGTGAGCAAAGACCTGCCTGTTGAGCTTGTGCACCTGCTGGAAGGGTAGCTGAACCCGATCTGTCCCAGCGGGTTAGGACCTGCGCATTCCTGTCTCAGGTAGGAAAGAGAGAATGAGCCAGGCTTATTCTTGGGGTACCACATGAGTGGGTGTGGTCTCAGGAGAGGCCAAAGTAATTAAACCTGGCTTTATTTTCAGAACTTGAAATCAGTGTTTACAGATCAAAAGTAAAATAAACACTTGGCTTATTCATTTTGAAATGCACAGTTCCAATCTCAGATACAAATACATAAATTCAGCTGGGACCCAGGGTGTTTCCTCTGGATCCCCCAGGGGATCAAGCAGGCACCGTGGCTGTAGTGAGATCAGGATGAAAGTTCCTCACCTGCTTTCCACCAGCCCAAGCTCAGCGCTGAGCAAACCTCGTGCTGTCTGTGCAGTGGTTCTACTTCCGGGGGGGAGAGGCCAGGCCTCTCAGATGACATCAGACTCTTGGGGGAAAGGGACAGACTTGTCATTTCTTAAAACTTGTTTATGGGCCTGCGCAGTAGCCTAGTGGCTAAGGTCCTCACTTTGCATGCACCAGGATCCCATATGAGCATTGGTTTTTCTCCCTGCTTGTGGACTGGGAAAGTAGTCAAGGATGGCCAAAAAGCCTTGGCACCCTGCACCCACGTGAGAGTACCTGGAAGAAGCTTCCAGCTCCTGGCTTCAGCTCTGCTCAGCTCTGGCCATTGCAGCCACTTGGGGAGTGAACTAGTAGATGGAAGATCTTTCTCTCTTTCCTTCTCTCTGTAAATCGGATTTTCCAATAAAAATAAATAGATAATTTTTTAAAATTTTCAAAATCCCATATGTAGTAAGAACCTAAGTGCCCGAGCCATCACCACCTGCTGTCTCCAGGTTGCACATTAGCAGGAAGTTGGTCTAGGAGCTGAAGGAGGCATGGAACCCTGATGAGAGCTGCCATTTTCAATAATGTCCTCCCATGCCGGAGCCTCACCCCAGAAGCTCCACTGCCCCTGCAGGTCAGACCATAATAACAAGGGAATCAAGGGAAGACAACGGGTTTGACCACAGAGGCAGGCCCACACAGGTGGAACAAGTCCAAACCAAATGAGACTAAGAAAGTCTGCAAACCCATTTTTCTGCATTTACCTGCAATGACATGATAGTGCTTTCTGGAAAAGTTATTAACCCCAAGTTTTAATTATTCCATTCCATAGTTTCTCTGTGGTGCCTTATTGGACAAATCAGCCATCTGGGAGCCAGACTAAGTACTTTATCCTGTGAAATTAATAAAAAAATACACAGAGGCTTTTTCACTGTTGCCGTGTGAAATAAATAATCATTTTAGGGGAGAAAGTTACTCTCCCACCTTTGATGCCCACAAGCTCTTTTACCAATAACGGATGCTGTCCTGAACTCCTCTGCACAAATTCTTTTCTGTTACCACATGATACATTGTAATATAAGAGCAATTAATATGCAAATTGCCATCATAACTTAATATTATCTTCCCTCCTATTGCTCTTTAATTTGGTATTGAGCAGTAGAGGTTTGAGGTTTTAATCAAAGAGCATGGAATGAGGCAATTTATAAAATCAAATGGCTTTTTTTCCATTGTTTCATTCACTGTTTATACCGTCTCAAGTGTAAATTCGTCTTGGAAATGCACTAGCTCATTGCTGCCCTCCTGGCTGGACCATGACTAAGTTCAAGCTCACTGGTTCAGTTACATGCAGATTGGAGCAAGCAGTGCCAGCCTGTGCGTGCCCTGAGGCACCGTGGGCTCCGCTTCGAGTTTTACTCTCATTGTCTGTAAAATGAAGTGATGGTACTTTCTCCATCATGTGGTCATCGAGAGGATTCAACAAGACAATCCACGTTGTTAAACCTTCTTGTTGCCACATATTTTTAAAACAGAAATTCCCCAAGTATGATTAAGATCAGAGCAGAAGTATTGCAAAAGAGTCATTTTCCACTCCAGAGAGGGACTTGGCCGTACTGGTGAGCTGGTTTGCTGTGTGGTGCATGCATGGGGCAGTTAGCTAGGCAGCAATAGAAGTTACTAGAAGCATAGGAACTGGGAGCAGCTGACAAGGCCCAGGAGGTGTGTGGAGGCGGGCAGTCCAGCAGAGTCCAGCTTAGTGACTATAGAGAGGAGCCAGTTATCAGATTCCAGAAGACAGATCACGCATGGTCCAGCAGCAACAGCAACAGATCAAATCCAGAGGAAGAGTGTGGAATTGGCTAAGCTACAAAGAACAAGCAGGAGTCAGGGATCCTGAGAATTCCCAGGGAGACACTTCACTGACAGCGCCTAACATGGAGGATTTTCTCATGTGTAATTAACAGAGCATTGCATGATTTAAGCATGTGGGTCAGTCAGAAGACTTCAGTTCCCAGTGGAATCCCTCAGCTGTCTCAGGCACTGTGGGCCAAGGCTCAGTCTGTCCCTGCCATCAAGTGAAGGGCCACTCCCTGGAGCATGAGAAAACCAAGTGTCCCTGTCCAGGCTCCCTGAGACGGTGCATGAGCAGGCCTGGCAGACTGACGAGCGGGAGGCAGAACCACCCGCTTCTGGGCAGTTCGCTGGTCCGCAGGCACCTGCATGCCCTGAGTGGGATTCTGACAAAGCGACGACTGACTATGCTAGACAAAGCTTAATGACATCACTTCCAAAGAGTTGCATATGAAGTTTTCAACATTCTAATGTCTAATTTAAGCCTACGTGACAAACTAGAGACTAGATAAGGCTCCAACACCCTATATATTCATATATATTCAGTACTGGCTTTATTTCACATATTGGGTGTCATATCACTATCATCACCAATTGCTTAATCATTACTACAGTCAACAGTCTCCACGAGAATTCCAGGCAGGGTCCACATGCTCTCTGACAGGCAGTTCAAACAAAGCACTTTGAAAAATGACTCCCTGTAGACAATCGGGAGTTATTCGGCTTTCCACACCCGCACCTGAGGCATCCTTATCCCATGAGCGCAGCAGCAGGACAGAACTCAAACCCAAGGACACACCCTGACCACAGGGACCCTGCAGAGGAGGAACTATCCTCTGCTAGCCATCACCCAAACTCGATGACAGGCTGAGTTCCATAAGGCAGGACTGTTGGCAAGCCGAGCCCAGATAAAAACATATGTGACGCCCAGCGAGTGAGAACATACAGTCAGACATACAACACTTTAGATGCTTTCTATCACAATGCATATGCACAAAAGTTAAGATATATTCCTCCAGGAGTTCAATACGAAAACGAAAATATTGACTACAAACAACTTCAAGACCATCACATATCACTGAACGCAGCAGCAGTTGTTAATTTTCTAGAATTACGGCTGTGAGAAATACAAAGGAAGTAATTTCCAACATCGTTTCCAGCACTCAGATCAAATCTTTAAAGCCCTTGCATTTACACTTTCTACGGGCTTTCACACCCTGCACAGTCCATCTTCATTCTGTTCACAAGGCTGAGTTGTACGTACACTGGCACCCCAGCGTTTTCCAATGTGTTTCACGAGCGCCCTCTAGTGACACTGTAGTCAATTAGAACTAGCACAAACTGTCCCAAAGACTCAAATACCCAACATTTCAAAAAAGTAACTCATGCTGCTCCCTATCCAAATACATTGTGCTGACAATGTACACATTGAATAAACCTGAGAAGCAGGAAAGGCAGACATTTTGAAACCAATGTACTTGTATAATTACTTCATTTCTCTTCCAGAAGTTTTCATCATCTCATGCTTAAAAATTATCACAATGGCTAAGTCCACAGAACTTATTTAAACGTGTCTGATGAAGATTTCCTCCCATATTTTGCATATTTTAAAAATAAAGACTTTCAACAGATTATTCAATTCCTTAACTCTGGATCCCAGGGTTATTAAACTGATGGCCGATGGGCCAGTTGCAGTCAATCGGCATGGACTGTTTATCTTTCCAATTGTCTCCGTGGTTGCCACATTTAAAAGTCTGCATTTCTAGCATCTCCTGCGAGAGCTTCTGTCCCCAGGAGCCGAGCAGGCACTCCGACCCCCTCATCCGCACCCCAGGGTGAAGCCTGTCTTAGCCCATCAGCCACAGGCACGACTCGGTCTCCCTCTGTCAGATCAGTTACTTACCTGCCCCTGGAAACACTGAAGTCATAATCCTTGACTTTGTGTCCCCTTTTGCTTTTTCCTACAGAAGCTCTCTTTTGAATCCTTTGACCCACACTCATTTTCCATCGCATCAGCACTACACAACATGTCCAGCGGAAACACTGAAAGCAACCTGCCTTGCCAGAGGAAAGCCGCAGGAATGACAACGCACAAACGAGCATGTATCATCCCCAAATGCCATCCATTCTCTCCAGAATTAAGATCTGTCTCTTTGTGTTTAGAAATCCTGCTGATTTCAGGATGACAAAGCCTTCCCACGGAATCCCATCCATGCAACAATGCAAACAGCACAAACCCTCGCTAGCCGCACAGGACCTGCTTGCATTACCACAATTTCTCTCTTGGAGCCAAGGCCCAGGCAAGTCAACTCAAGCCAACGGAAGGGGTCACTCACGGGTGTGCTGCTGTCGGAGAAGGTGTTCATGCTGGCCGAGCTGCTCAACTTGTCAGAGGAGAGGGAGGGCGGGGACGGGCTCCTCTTCTCCAGGGGGTCCTGCCGCTGCAGGTACTCACGCCATGCGCGCTGGATGCTGCCGGAAAAGCCCAGCACACAGTCAGCTGCCTGACACTCGCACAGGAAGTCCAAAGAGCTGCTTCGGAGGCAGCTCGTGAGATGACACGCACACGACACGCACATGAGGTGTCTCCGCAAGTCCCAAGACCTGGACTCATAACCTGTTTGCTGCTGACACTGCCTCTCACTGGCCTGACTTGCACACACTTGCTCGGCTAGTTCTGACTGAAAGAATCAACTTAGTCAGAAAGAGCCATCCGTCACAGTCAAATGTATTTGCACACACACAAAAAAAATGTTCTTTCATTGCAGAAATAAAAATCTTTCAATGGCTCATGTTTTCAATAAGATTAATAAAGAGGCTATTACTCATACATCCATTCAAGCGATCATTGTTGAAGACTGTTCTGCATCAAGGTTAGCCACAAGCTCTGGGAGAGACCACAGTGCACAGCTGTCCCACAGAGCCCAAGGTGAAGGGCATCTGTGGTGACGCACAGGGCAGTGTGCACAGCCACCAGCAGAGGCTCTGCTCTGCTGACCACATGGACCAAAGCACTGTGGACATGGAGGAAATAGGTAGGGCTCGACAATGGAAGAAGTGAGAGAGACAGAATTTCAGAGTGCTATAGGAATTGAAGGAACTCAGAATTAGCCTAGATTTCGACTCAAGAAGTCCTCTAGACTCTGTAATTAGTATCAGAAAAGTCACCTTCTGCTTTGAGCAATAGAAGTCGATGTATGACAACTAAGTGCTGTGCAATCTACTGGCTGCCTTCTACACTTTGACACTAACGTTTAGGTTTGCCAAGTGGTCGTGAGCAAAACCTTGCCTCTTTCCGTGCTGCCAGGCCACGCAGACCAGCTGTCAGGTTCTAAAGTCCTTGCATGAATTCCATCACTGTCCCTTCTAGACCCCTGAACATGTTTTATCTGCAACATTTCTACACACAATCCACCTCACTCAAGTTGCTTCTGTATATACAAACTGATTTATTTTCATTTGGCTAGAATGATTAAAAGGCCATCAATTCCAGTAGTGACTGGATGTGAAGAATACAAAAATACCACTACATTATTGAGTTCTGTGTGCTTCTGCTAGTTTATTAAAGTATGTGGACATCAAGGATCAAGAGTTCATATAGAAACAGCAGAGAAAACAACAGCTTTGGCTCAGAGGCCAATTCCTTGGACCTAAGAAACACTCAGGCCTCGGGGGCTCTAACTCGGAGGCCAGGCTGGCATAGAACTGCACAAGACAAACTTCTTTTACAACACATTTTAAAAGGCAATCTGAATTATATACACGTCAAGCCCCATGGAAGTGAGATTCAACTCTACTTTGAATGACATTTGATCATTTTACTGTGTGAAGTTTGCTGAAACTGTGTCCTTATGTACTTTTCTAATTTCCATATGATTTACAAAACAAAACCCTTTAAGATTACCTGTCTGAGCCTAAGAGACTCCTTTCTCTTTTTACTTTTATTTATTTATTTATTGTATTGGGAAGTGAGAATTACAGAGAGAAGGAAAGACAGAGAGAACAATCTTCCATCCACTGGTTCACTCCCCAAGTGACCACAACAGCTGGAGCTGGGCTGATCCAAAACCAGAAGCCAGGATCCTCCTCCAGGTCTCCCACACGGGTATAGGGTCCCAAGGCTTTGGGCCGTCCTCTACTGCTTTCCCAGGCCACGAGCAGGGAACTGAATGGGAAGTGGAGCAGCCGGGACACGAACTGGTGCCCAATGGGATCCTAGCACATGCAAGGTGAGGATTTTAGCCACTAGGCTACCATGCTGGGCCTGGGAGACTCATTTCTTACAGAATCTATTTTATTAGTAATTAATGAGCTTTTTAAGGCTGTTAGTACTTCTATTCCTTCTGAAGTTTGGTCTTTGGGTTTTCAAAAACCAGGCTAAGTTGAGGCTCTCAATAGTACCTCATCAGTAAACCTGCCCATAAAGGGCTCAAAAATATGCAGCATTCTAAGTTTAAAAGTCAGAAAACACTGGCACCCTACAGAATATCTATACACTTAGAATATTCTGTGGTGTTGTAAGCTATCTGCCCCACCCCCTTTTTTAATTACCTTGACCAAATAAAAGGAAGATGTCCAACAAAACTCTTAAATATGTATGACAACAGGATGCTAGACTTTCTGTTACTGTCTATATCCACCATGCCGTGATACACTGAAGCAGCACAATGTCAGAGTCGTGACTGTTGCTGAAGGACTATGGTATTGCAGTAATTTGGGTGGTGGGGAAAAGGTTGGAGGATGGAGAGGATGGAATTGGGAACTGTATCACTGTATATGTACATATATTATGTAAGATAAAAGAAAATGAAAGAAAACGTGGTGGCCATTTGAGGCAGTATTACTTTTCAGTTTGTTGAACACCAGGGGGCAGTGTGACACCTTTGAAAACCTGAACACGCGAGGCTTCCACAAGTAAACTTGTTTTAAAAAGTCCCTTTTTCCCTCTCTTCCAGTTCTATGGAACTAGTTTTCCTTGAGCCAAAGAATAAGTAAACAAAATTATTTCCTTTCAAATGGAAGTTCATCGTCTTTTAAAAATTAAGATAATGTGTCAATAGTAAATACTTTAAAAATGTGTTTAGAACACTTAAATGCCCACTGACCATTACAGTCAATGACAACATATATAGAAGCAGCCTTGTTTATTTGAAAACATATTGAAATATTGTTTTTCAAACAATATAAAATAGAGATCTACTTCTTACATTAATTTGTTCTCCATAATGACAGCTTTTTAAAAAAAGATTTATTTCTTTTAAAATAGTTGCAGAAAGAGATGGAGAGAGAGAGAGAGAGAGAGAGAGAGAGAGAGAGAGAGCTTCCATGCACCTGTCCACTTCTCCAAATGGCCTCAATCGACAGCTAGGCCAGGCCAAAACGCCAGGGTCTTCATCAGAGTCTCACAAGGAGGTGGCAGAGACTCAAACACTTGGGCCTTTTTATGCTACTTTTCCCAGGTTTAAGGACTGCGTGAAAACCTGGACAATGTCCTTAACTGGCATGTGAGGTCAAACAAGGCAGGGCAGAGGCCTTTATTAAACAGCTCCTCTGCTTTCCTGTAAACGGGGACACTGTGTAGCCAGCACCCTCCCCATCACAGAAATGGTATTTCCACAACAGGTCACGTGCTTTCTGTCCCACTGACGGCATGACCTGCAGAGACTGCAGCCCTGAAGTCGCACAAGCCATCTCCCTCTGCTTTTCGACTCGACAAGGGAATTTCAACCAAACACAGAAGCACCTTGCCCCACAGACTGCAGCAACCACGCTCAGCTGTCTCATCATGACATCACTAATTCCAGTTCCCAGGCCTCCACTGTGGACTACAGACTACCTGACACTTTTATTTTTTGAATTGAATGATGCTATCAATACAATTCTGTAAAGGTCTGTTGATGTTAGGGCATGCACCTTTTGTGTTGCTATATTTTGAATGATAAAGCACGGGGGGTTTGGTTAGGGGAATTTCTAGTTAGCTTCTCTCCTATCAGCGAGAGCATAGCAGCCCTACTTGTTTTATGTAAAGTGCAGGTGGCACCCTCACACCTCCCGGGCAGTGCTGGTGGCAGGTGCATGTCCTCACACACAGGAGTCACTGAACTGGACTAAGTTCTCCAATGAGACTCAAATTCTATTATTGAGCAAGATTAAGTTTCTCTCTCTCTCTCATAACCCCTGCAGTGAGTGCAAAGGAGTTCAGAGCTCTCAGGAGAAACGGAAGCCCCTCCTTTGCACCTCACTGAACTCAAGCTCCTCCTTCAGGGCAGAGACACAACCAGCCCCCCCACCCCGCCTCCATGCTGACAGGCATTGCGGCACAGAGCCCTTAGCTTCACCGCTTCCTGCTCTGGGCACCTGCTCCTCGGCCTCCACTCACAGAGAATGGTAGAGACTAAAACAGACCAGGGAGGTTTCCTAGCATCACCTCTGCATTCAGAACAAACTCTCCAATTTTTCACACACCCACTTTCCTTTCCAGCACTTTTTCATTTACTAGGAATTTATCTTAATGAGAGATCCCAGGGCTTACTGGGAGGAGTTCCAGTTGGCTTGGAAGCCAGGGTGGGACTTCATCCTGAGAGGCAGCAAGCTCGTTCCTGGAGAGCCGGAGAGCCGTGGTAATGGAGAGTCGGGAAAGGGGATAGTTGCTTTTATCCAGCAGGATGCCACACATCTGTGTCATTTATCCAGCAGGATGCCACACATCTGTGTCATTTCTGTTTCAGCTTTTATTATTCTCCCGAGTCTGACAGCTCAAGGCGCCTTTTCCAAGCGTGACTTTTCCTTCAGCGATCCTATCTGCAGTGAGTACTGAGTCTGGCCAAGCCCACTTAGTCATGTTTACAATCACGGACACACGCCTCTTGGAGCATTACGCTATTGGTGTGAGCACGTATGTGCAGGTGTTTATGAAATAATCCCATGAATCTCACTTCATCCTGGCCTTCCAAGTGGGTGGCAGGGGCCCAAGCACTTCTCCGGGCCATTAGCACAGGGACCTGAATCGGAAGTGGAGCAGCCTGGATTCAACCTGACTCACACAAGGGCTGCCAGCACGCAGTCCACTGTGCCACATGCTAACTCCTGTGTGTCCCCCTGAAGGCAGCGAGAAGATCTCCCACAAAGCAGACACGAGCAGTGTGAAATCACCTACACAGATTCTGCTTATTTCATCTCTAAGGATTGATATTTTGTCGTATGATAGAGTCTGTCTCACCCCAGATCTTACTGCTGCGTGTCTGCTAACATTGAGATGCTGCCAGCACTACCGTCACGCACTGATCATTTGCACGAAGATAGGGGAGCTTACACTGGCCTGCACTAGAGTCTGGGAAGAGAGGCCAGCACTGTGGCACAGCGAGCTAAACCACTGCCTGAGATATGGGATCTCACGTGTGAACCAGTTCAAGTCCCGGCTGCTCTGCTTCAAGTCTGTCTTCCTACTAATGCAGGTGGGAAGGCAGAAAAAGACTGCCCCAAGTGACCGAGCCCCTAAAATCTAAACTGACAGAGTTCTAGGTTCCCGACCTCCAGCTGGGCCATCCCTGGCTGTTGAGGCCATTTGGGGAGTGAACCAATGGGTGCAAGGTGACCCTCTGTCTCTTCCTCTGCTTCTCGCTTCGCCTTTCAAACAAACAAAAGACATCTTAGAAATAAAAACATAGGATGTAAGGAAAAAAGACAAGGAACGAGAAGTTTTTTTTTTTTCCCTAAAATAACTGGGTAAGAACTGGAATGAAAGAGAAAGAAGACAGTTAAAAGGTTGTGCATGTAAGGGTGTGTGTGTGTGTGTGTGTGTGTGTGTGTGTGTGTGTGTGTGTGTGTGTGTGTGTGTACACTCACACAAATCAAAGAAACGGCTTGAGGTAGAAAAGACCAAGTTGCTTAGAGGCAGAATTAGCCGTGTTGTTAAGTTGTAAGATAGTGAAAAATGCTACTGGAAGTTCTTTAGGACTGTGCTCAACCTAAAACGAAACAACAACAACAAAAAAACAAACAAAAATCCCCAGGGCAATTAAGTAATTCCCTGCACTGTCCAGCAGATGGTGCTGTGTATCCAGAACAGCCTTGCTGCTGCTTAAAACAGGCATGTGTCAATCATTTAAATGTGAAAGTATGTGTATTTCCAGCAGTCAAAATTCCACAGTCATTCAGAATAGCACAACACACGAAAAGTAGCAGTGATGATGCGATTTAAACCCCGAGATAACTTACATTTTCACCTTTGATTCCAAGGGCTGTAGACTGAGGGGGTATTTTTCAAAGTTATTCTCTGCATCCATGGCCATGGCCAGTGGGTGACTGAAAACAGAAGCAACGTTTCAGTGTACCTCAATACAGACAGTTCTCTTTGATAGCAATAACGCTGCTAACCCACATGTATTTGAAAAAGCAGACGCAGGCTTAATTTTGCGCATTTTACTTTAATTTGTTCAGAGGAGTCACAACATTACAACCCAGTTCTTACCATTCTCTACATCACAAAGTACTGGTTGACAGATTTTAGCAGCAGGCTCACCAGGCTTACTCCCACTTCCCATAGTTTCAGAGCCAACATGTTAGGGAATATATTTTTATATGCCAATCCAGTACACAATCGTGTGTGTGTGTGTGTGTGTGTGTGTGTGTGTGTTTGAAAGAAAAGTTTCAAGAAACATGATTTATTTAAGTATGTGTGATATCACTTTTTTAATTTCATGATTTTAATGTTTCACCAAACTGATTTAGCAAGTCAGCAGTAAACCATGGTCTCTAATGTGGCAAGCAATGCTGCCGGGAAAGGAAAAGCACTTGAAGCAGGGACTGATGGTGAATTTGGTGTTCCGGGATGCTGTGCAGTGGGGGTGAGCAGAGAGTAAAGGAAAATTAACTAGGAGGTTCCTTCAAATTGGTCAGGCATCGAGGACCAGGATTGTGATACGGTAAAGAATAGAGTTGATAGGAAGCTGTGTTGGTGATATCCCTGGGACTATAAGCGCATTTTCTCTAGAAATGAACAGCTAAGAGAAAAAAACACAATATAGCAGATAAATTCTTACATGGCCACCAGGTGGCGCCATCGGCCCGAGAGCTTGGTGGCTGTACAGGGTGCTCCTGAGGAGCAGGATACACTCGTATTCAGGGTCCTAGCGAGCCTGGGACCTCACAACAGGACGACAAGGATCCTCTAATTTCACAAATCACTAATTACAGATGCATGAACTGGGCAGTGGACATGTGGGGATGCATTGTGGATCCTGCAGAAACACAAACTAACATCTATGAAGAGAAAAAAACTTCCGTAATGTTAACAAGCTCTTTTGGGAATGTAACTTCCACAGCAACAAACTGTGGAGGACACTCATTGGTTTACATTGGATAGCTTTAGTGTACTCCATCAATAAGTGCCAGTGAGTAATGAAGCAATTCTACATCAGTAGAACATGTGAGTCATACACCTCTCTTTCCAGGGACCCAGTTTGATGCAACAGCTACACAAGCATGGCAGCCAGCCGACAGTCCACTGAAGTTAATAAGTGATTATCATAAACAGCAGCAGTGTAAGCCACCTAATAGCGTGACAAATTGGTCTCCTCTGTTTGGGGCAATGGCCAGAGTTCACTGAATGTGTGTGTGTGTGTGTGTGTGTGTGTGTGTGTGTGTGTGTGTGTGTGCACTCGATCACACTGGGATGGTCTGCCATGTGTATACATTCACGTGTGTGTGTGTGTGTACTCCAAACATGCTGGCTTGGCCCCACGTGCATATGTGTATATGAATGCTTATGTATAATAAATGCAGTAGATTGCTGCTCTGTGTGTGCATGTGTGTGTGTGTGTGTGTGTGTGTGTGTGTGTGTGAACAAAAGTCCTCTGCTGGCTCTGCTTACGGGCTTAGATAATACTGAGTCCCCGGTTTTTCTCCCATCACACTGTCTACCACAAAATGCTGTTAAGCATTCAGAAGAAATGTAATGTTCCAAGGGGGAGTAACCGATCAGCTGCCATGACACCACTATCACTTAACGCACGGTCACTGCGAGTAGCTAGATGATTTACATCAGTGTCGAAGTCAGCCACGGTGCTAATGAAATGCCTAATCTGCTCACGGCAAGTACGCCCATTTCTCAATCACATTTGACAGCTTTCAAGGACACAGCCCTGCCCTGAAGCAGGCCAGGGAAAGCTCCAGAATGCAGCCAAATGCACCAAGTTAGTAGGGCTGGTGACCAAGGCTTATAACAGCCCTGCTGAAGAGCAGGAGAAGGAAGGTAACCGCCCCTCCACACTTTCCCCACTCCTCCAGCAACCCAACTACTGCGTTCTGAGGGCTGACTTCAGTTCCTGTCCCTGAACCCTTCAACCATGACTGGAAAAACAGACCGCTAACTTCCAGAGCTGCTTTTTTACCAGGATGATGGCTAGAGAAAGGGGGGCAGAGTGGGGACAGGAGGTGGGCGGAAGCTGGTGTACACCCCATTCATTTTCACACATCTCCCTGAGAGTGGGCAGCTGGGAGAGGTGTCTGTTGCTGATAGCGAGGGGTTTACTATAGAGTTGTGGTCAATTAGCAGGATAAGAAAAACTTCAGCAGTTCATTTCCTACATTAAAATCAATAGCAAAAACCCTGTGCAGTCGAGAGCAAGAACTAAATGGGCTGAACATCACAGAGGAAGGATGTCCTCAGAGAATTCAACTGCCTGAGCTTGTCCAATCCCTGAAAGCAAACTTGAGACGCAGTGCCTCCTGAGTCACCTGGAGGAAGCAGCTAAGAAAGCCCGATTCCCCTGCCTCATCCCCAGAGAGCTGGGTTCCCTTTGTCTGTAGTGAGACGGAAGCCAGGCTGTTTTCACTGAGCTTCCTGGGTGATTTTAACAGCCAGGCTGAAGACCGAGACTTCATGTTGTTACATTACCAGCTCCCATGGAAGAAAATCTCTTGTTTCAGCTGAAAACTGGTTGTTATTACTTATGGAGGCTGGAATGATTGAACTGTCTCATTCCCACTCATTCATATTAATGAACACTGGAATCCTGGGGATTAACGAAAGCCAGAGCTATCCCAGGAACTTCACCTGAGCCCTGACTGAAGGTGCCATCCAGTGTGGTCATGTAGTGGAGTCTTAGGATCCTGGAGAAACAATGAACTCAAGAAGCTGTTCAAACACCGACCCAGGAGGAGAGGGAAGGCGCCTGCTGTCCGGGCTCGTCCCGTTTAATGTCCCGGGAGGACTAGCAAGTCAATTCTGTCGTCTTTCTTTTAAAACTGGGCGACCTGGGGCTACACAATCTGTCCAGACTCGCAGAACTAGAGAAAGGCAGAGAGAAGTAGCCATTGTAAGGCTTTCCAGGTTCAGGCCTGGTTTTGACTTTGCAAAAAGAGAGTCATTTGTGACTTCCTGGGCACTTTGGGTATCTGTGAGCTTCAACTATGAAGTCTTCCCTTCTCTGAGCCATGTCACTATTTCTGTACACAGCCTGCTCAGTAATCCTTGTTCCACTCTCTACAGCCAGAGAGAATGGGGCAACATAGGTCCTCTTTTATAGGAACATTCCTTCAAATATTTAAGGATGGCTGTTTTGATACTCCTACCCATCTTCTGCTCTTTTGGAGTTGTTTCTCATGCAGCCCAGCACTCCTTCCCCTCTAGTCCTCTGGGGGACGTCAATTCGCTTTGTAAAAGCTGTGGCCAGTGATGAGTAATCTTAGAAGCCATGTGGGGTTCAATGACTGGTCCAGAAAATAGAGGAACTAAACTGGGGGCTGCAAGAAAGACTCAGAAAGAATTCCAACCTGGGTTTGATTCCCACCCTTACCCCCTGCCAGTTGAATATATTTGGCAGGTAATTAACTCTCCTCTGAACTTGCACCAAAGGCCTATGTCAAAAAGCAATGACCAGGATTTGATGAGAAAGTGTTCAAAATCACTCAATAATACAGAATTCACTGACAATTCTCAATATATCCTGACAGTGTGTGCTAATTTGTCTAATATTACTCTAGCATTTTTAGAAGAAATGTAAAATCATGAGTTAAAGTCAAACAAAACCTGTAAGCATTTACTCACAAGGTGATACTAGTGTGTACCTCTCACGTGCTCTCATTGTAGTACTCTTTTTAGAAATCCAGATGAAAGGCTCAATCTCATCTCTTTTTATTTTTAATGCACAGTTGTGTTCCATTCTGTGATGTTATTTTGAGTATCCATTCTTCTCGCCTTGGTATTTTCTGCCTGTTACTTAACAAAGTCCTTGATGAAAAGCCAAAGACAGGGAAGACCTAGGCTTCAACTCCCAGGTGTCGTACAGTCTGCTAATCAGAGCAGCAGGTGTATCACCACTCAGCTACCCTTAAATCAAACTACATCTCAAATGACTCATATCGCTTGACACTGACCACAACAAATTTATAACAAATTATGAGACTTAACTTACTTGTTTTTGTCCTTCCAGAAAGTTTCTCACCCATGCCAGCTGTATAAAATCATAGCAAGTGGGGAGTGAACACTGTGCAGTGTATTAAACTGACACTTGGGGTATCTGTATCTCAAACTGAAGTACGTAGGGTTAAATTCTGCTTTCACTTCCCACTCAGCTTCCTGCTAAAGTGTGCTCCAGGAGGCAGAGGGTAAGGCTCAAGTGAGACCTGAATGCAGTGTCCAGTTCCTGGATCTCACCTGGTCCAGCCCTTTCTGTTGTAGACATTCGGTTAATGAGTCAGCAAATGGTAGAGTCTAAACCCTGCCCCTACATCCCTGTGTGTGTGTGTGTGTGTGTGTGTGTGTGTGTGTGTGTGTGTAACTCTGCCTGTCAAATAAATAGAAAATAAACATTTTCCTCAAAAAGTAGCAAAAACTTCTTTCAATATCATCACTTACTTTTCAAGCAAATATTTTTCATCATTAACTTGCTCTAAAGGATTCTGCAATCTTTTCAGTTCTTCCTGTAAATAAAGAAAAAAATGTATCATACAAATTGATACCATGTGCTCCTGAACATTATCTGAGAACAAACGTTGAGATAATTCAAATACTACATGATTAAGAGTTATAGATTTTTTGATGGTTATGTGTCTTTAAGCAAACAATACATTTTGGTCTGAATCAAATTAGAATCCAATATTGTCACTTAAATTATGTCATTTTTTAATTACCAAAGAGAATGCTTCGTGTTCTTTTTCTAGATGAGAGACAAGTTTATATGAATCCTCTCCTACTCTTTCCACATTCACTCTTGACAATTTACTGTTTGTTGGATAAGAGACTCAAGTAACTATGTACTGGGCTGGGTCTGGCCATTCAGCAAACATCCCCTTTTGTCTCTTGGTGACCTATTCCATGTCAACCAAGTGTGCACTCACTCACTCTCATTCTCTCTCTCTCTCTCTCTCTCTCCCTCTGTCACACACACACACACACACACACACACACACACACACACACACACACACACACACTCACACTCCTTACTTTCCAGTATCAGTAGTCTCTAATTCCATTTCCGTGGCCACAGAAATGTGAAAAAAGTTGGTTCAAATTCTTGCTGAGACTACTTGTCCCTGATCTTGTCAATCACAAAGGATTTCAGCTGTGCCCATAAAAACCCTGTCCCTGAGCAACATAAATGAGGGAACTAGTACTTCCCTCAAAAGTAAACAAAAGACCATATCAATCTTAGAGCTTCAGGGTGAAGATATTGAGGATCTCCCAAACAGGAAATACAAGAAAAATCATCATAAAACTCTTCAGACACAGTGAGAAAGGATGGCAAGAACTCTAGGAATTCAAAGAATATCTCACCACAGAGATCGAATCTATAAAACGGGTCCAAACTAAAACACATGAGCTGAAGAACACAACAGAAAGCCTCAACAACAGAATGGATGCTGCAGAAGACAGAATATCAGAACTGGAAGATAACCAATTCAAGAACACACAATTAATTAGACATATGGAATAGAATCTGAATAAAGCCAAGAAATCTATCCAAGGAATGAATGACAACATCACAAAATTGAATATCAGAGTTATAGGAATTCCTGAAGGACTAGAAAGAGGTAGAATTACAGAAAGTGTTCAATGAAATTATAAAAGAGAATTTCTCAAACATTGAGAACCTAAGGGAAGAACACACAGGAAGGACAGAGAACCCCAAATAGAATTGATCCAAAAAGACTCTTATCCAGAAACATTGTTGTCAAGCTTCCTCAATTGAACATAAATCTTAAACCAAGCACCAAAAAAAAAAAAAAAAAAGATAACATACAGGAAAAGCCAATCAGAATCACTGCCAACTTCTCAGAAGAGACCTTAAAAAGCAGGAAGAAAACAGAGTAACATTTTTAAGATCCTAAAATAGAAAAACTGTCAACCAAGAACAATATATCCAGCAAAGCTTTCATTTGTGTTTAAAAAATATTTCCACAGTAAAAAAGAAGCTAGAAGACGTCACCAGCACTAAGCCAGCCCTGGAAACACTGCTCAGAAACGTGCTGAAGTCAGAAAGAAAGGAAGTTAACCAAAACCAATGATGGAAAAGGGGAAGATCTTCCCATTAAAGCTGCAACACACACACACACACACACACACACACACACCCCAAGACTAATTCACAAGCTATCAGCATTAACTCTTACGTGAATGGCCTAAACTCATCAGTCAAAAGACATAGATTATCAGAATGGATCAAAAAGCAGGACCCATCTAAATGTTGCTTACAGCAGACACATCAAATCAACAAAGATAAATGGAAGCTGAGAGTGAAAGAATGAAAAAGGAGACTTCATGTGCAAAAAAGCTGATGTAACCAGCCTACTATCAGGTGATGCAGATTTCACCACGAAAGACATTAAAAGAGATAAAGAGGTTCACTACATAATAACAAAAGGAGCCAGCCACCAAGAAGAAATAACAATAAATGTATATACGCCATATCCTTCCATCCCATGGACACTGAATATACATGTTTTTCAGCTGTACATGGAACCTTCTCTAGGATCCACGATATTACAGGTCTCAAAACAAGCCTCACCAACTTTAAAAAAACTGAAATCATACCATGTATCTTCTCATACCACCATGGAGTGCAGCTAGTGATCAATAAATCAAAATATCCCAGGAATTTGTAAACTCTCGGAAGCTGAAAAACATGCTACTGAATGAACAATAGGTTAGAGGAGAAATTTAAGCAGAAATTTAAAAATTCCTTAAAATTAATGAAAACACAAAAAGAACATGCCAAAACCTAGGGGACACTACCTACGCAGTGTTAAGAGGTATATTTATTGCAAGTGATGCTTACTTTAGAAAACAAAAAAGATACTATGTAAATAAGCTAAGTATATACCTGAAGAAGCTAGAAAAACAACAGCAAAATAATTTGAAGAACAACAGGAAAAAAGAAATAGTCAAAATAAGAGAAGAAATAAGCCAAATAGAAACCAAAAGAACAACACTCAAAATCAAAGAGTTGGTTCTTCAGGAAAATAAACAGAACAGACACCCCACTGATGTGACAAATAAAAAGCTAGAGAAGACAAGAATTAATAGTATCAAAGATGAAAAATTGAACATAACAACAAATACCTCAGCCATACAGATAATATTCAGAGATTAGTACAAGCAACTACACACCAACAAATCAGAAGACTTCCAAGAAATGGATATATTCCTGGACTCATACCATCCATCAACACTAAATCATGAGGCAACAGAAAGTCTAAATAAACCTATAAGCAACACAGAGATTGAATTAACAGTTAATGCCCTCCCAACAAAGAAAAGCCCGGGTCCAGATGGCTTCCCTGCTGACTTCGACAAAGCATTCAAAGTACAACTGACTCCAATTCTTAATACACTATTCAAAACAACAGAAAGGGAGTCAGTCCTTCCAAACTCTATGAGTCCAACATCACCTTAACACCAAAATCAGACAAAGGAAGCTATGGACTGATATCCTTGATAAACAGAGATGCTACCAGCCAAAAGAATGCAACAATACATCAGGCAGAACATTCGTTTGGACCAGGTGGAATTTATTCCTGGCATGCAGGGATGTTTTAACATATGCAAATCTATAAATGTGAGACAATACATTATGAAACTGAAGAACAAAAGCATATCGCAGTCTCAATAGATGCAGAGAAAGCATCTGATAAATCCAACACCACTTCATGCTAAAAAACTCTAAGCGAGATAGAAATAGAAGGAACATTCCACAACATAGTCAAAGCAATTTATGAAAAACCCAATGCCAACATCATATTGAATGTGGAAAGATTGGAAGCTTTCCCACTAAGATCTGGAACTAGATAAGAAAACCCAGCATTACCGCTGCTATTTAACATAGTACTAGAAGTACTTGCAAGAGCTGTTAGACAAAACAAATTAAAGGAATTCAAACTGGAAAAGAGGTAGTCAACTATCTCTGTTTGCAGATGGCATAATTCTATACATAGGAGAACCAAAAGACTCAACAAAGAAACTGCCAGAAATTATAAAAGAGTTTGGTAAAGGGCAGGGTACAAAATTAACAGCCCTCATGTATAAAACAACTAACTCCAAGACTGAAAAAAAAAAACTAATCGGTATAGTATCTTTCAAAATAACAGAGAAGACACTGAATGACTTTGGAATAAACCTAACTAGAGACATGGATGATCTCTATGATGAAAATACAAAACCTTGAAAAAAGACATAGAAGACTACCTTAAAAGTGCAGAAATATACCATGTTCCTGGATGGGCAGAGTCAACACCATCAAAATGTCCATATTACCAAAAGCAATATAACTTCAATGCAATTCCAATCAAAATATCAACAACAAAATTCATTGAGCTGGAAAAAATGATACAAAAGTTCATCTGGAAATACAATTACAATAGGTTATAGTAGATAATAAATAGCCAGCACTATCCTGAAGAATAAGAACTTAGGTGAAAGGATTACAATTCCAAACCTTAAGGCAGTAGTAATCCAAACAGCCTGGAACTGGTACAGAAACAAAGAGGAAGATTAACGCAGCAGGATAGAAACACCAGAAGAGAGCCCACACGTGTACAGTCATGTAGCATATGACAAGAGAACAGAAAAACAACCCGGGGACAAGAGATGATCTCTTCAACAAATGCTGTTGGGACAACTGGATGGCAGTCTGCAGAACTAAGAAACAAGACGCCCACCTTTCACCGTGAGCAAAGATCAAACCTAAATGGATAAAACATTTAAGTTAGACTTAGAAACCATCAAACTATTAGATGAAAATGTAGGAAACACTCTACAAGATATAGATACAGGCAATGACTTCTTAGAAAAATTATCAAAAGCAAAGGCAGTCAAGACCAAAACAAACAAATGGAACTACATCAAACTAAGAAGCTTCTGCACAGCAAAGGAAACAATCAACAAATTAAAAAAGCAACCAAAGAGTGGGAGAAAATCTGCATGTTATGTGACAGGGGACTTATATCCAGAATATACAAAAAGCTCCAGAAACACAATAACAGCAAAACAAACCAACCAGTTAAGAAATGGGTGAAGGAAATAAACAGACACTTTTCAAAGGAACAAACCCAAATAGATAACAGGTATATGGGAAAAAAAATGCTCAAGCTCCCTAGCAATAAGGGAAATTGAAAAAAAACCACACTGAGGTTCCACTTAACTCCAGTGAGAATGGCCAAATACAGAAAACCAACAACACCTGCTGATGAGGATATGGGGGAAAAGGAACCCTATTCCATTGCTGGTGTAATTGCAGGCTGGTGCAGCCACTGTGTATGTCAGTAAGGAGAATATTCATGCAACTGAAAATTCACCTACCCTATGACCCAGCAATCCCTCTCCTGGGGATATATCCAAAAGATCTGATACATTCACGTGATAAAGCGACTTACACCCCTATATTCAATGCAACACAATTAACATTTGCCCATTGAAAGAGGAC